GCACCTAATTGATTTGTGTGTTTGTATATGTGCAATTATGTCACAGCCTCCTGTCTAGCAGTGCAATATTGAGATCCTGAGAGATGGTTTGACCCTACAAGGCAACAATGGCATGTGTAGACATGCCCACTGATCTCAAATCCATTAGGTAGTAAAGCACCATATGTAGTTAATGAGATGCAGCAGCATTTCCCAAACTTTGTGGGTTTTTAATGGCTCACCATACCAGGGTTGGTCACTCTCATTCATCCCCATGTCAACTGCTGCTGATTCTCTTACCACTGCTTCCCTTCCCTGCTAATTGCCACCATTCCCCAGCAGCAATCAGCAGTGTGGGGAATCAGCATCTCTTATTTGCACATGCCTCCACTAGGAACCTTTTGTGCCCTCCCAGGTAAGTGACCCCAATACTTTGGGAAATGCTGAGGTGCAAGACACCTGGTAAAGATCTATTGAAACTATGCCTCTTTTAGTGCAATATACAGTGAACATGGTAGGATGGCAATCTTCCCTACAGATCCCTGATATAGGTATGCTTGCTCCATGATCAGAGACTGTTTGTTCAGAGCTTGCTCATGTATCTCTATACAGCATTGTATTGTATTGCAGACACACCAAAACTTAACATAGAATTTCTTGCTGTTTCTTTTTCTTTCTTTTTATTTCCAGAACTCTAGGAAATTGCACTTAACAGGGCATTTAAAAAAAATTCTAAAGACATAAAACATTAAAGTAAAGATGGAAATATCATTTAAACATTTAACTATGAGTGAGGATAAAATAAGACAAACTCTTAAAGCTTCCTTATTTATGTGCATATAAACCTCCCACATTCACATTTCAGAACTGGGAAAAGTAAAATACATTTTTGTTGAATTCTCTAGATGAATACATCAGCTGAGTATATTCAATATCTTAATTCATCTATTCATGTGAGGGCATGGGGGCTGAGTAAGGATGGTTGATAGGAATCAGTTCACAAGGAAGACAGGGCTCATGTAAATGAGACTAACACAGTGTAAAGTACAGGGCATTTGGGGAAGACTCCACTGGTGTACATCATCCCCTGCATCTGATGTTGTCTAGGAACTAGCCTAAAGAAAAGTAGGTCTCCTTGTCTATGCTGATCACATAAGTAGGTCTCCTTATCTATGATGATCATGGGTGTGAAAGAATCATTAAGTTAAAGAAAAAAAGAATACATTATTTCATTATTTTGAAACAACATACTGAGTGGCAGTATTTCAGTTTCACTGGTCCTCTTCTGAGATATATACCTCAAGTTCCCTAAGGCCTTTCTACAAATGCAGGTAAAGGTGTGATTGGATCTAATGCATGATCAACACAATCACACTTCCTGCCATGCCACATTCACATGGTAGCAGATGTGGTTGTGAGATTGCACACTAGATCCCATTGGACAAGCAAGAAGCAAGTTCCCATGTCTGGGAGCCTCCCTCAGTTGAGGGGCTTCCAGACACGGGAGCACCCTATACACTCCTGGGGCTCGGGAATCACAGCAGCTGCAATCCCTCAGACCCAGATGTTTCACACACAATAGTTTCTAGGCTCTTAGACTACAGACCAGACTACAAATAATCATTTAAGTTCAGCCATTGCAATGAGTTCTGTACCTACTCTAATTGACACTAGTTTCCACAAAAGGGAAAGGAAAAGGAAAATAGAGACGCTAATCTTTTAATTTAAAAGTAAATGTCTTCCATGTAGCATACTAATACAAAAAATAAAGAATGATAATCAGATAGCAAATGATTAAAGTTTGATGTAGACTAAGCAAAAAGAATTAACTACTGTTTCTATTAGCTATGAATATTATACACTAAAAAGTGAGTTTACTTACTGATGCCTATGTATCCAAAGAGAGAGAAAGAATGGAAATCATGAGACAGGACAGAGTAAAATAAACAAACAAAAATGTTTAGTTCTATTTAATTTACCATAAATACCTAAACAAACAAAAGAAGACATGATGTAGTATTGCAGATGGCTCTAGGACAATTATGAAAATGCAAGCAAATTACAACAATTAAAAAAAATTCCCAAGAATGCTTTTGAAATAAATGATCTTCAATAACTTTTAATCCTCTTTATTTTAATGTATTAATAAACACATTATTTCTCTGTAAAATACCTAGGTAAGTTTCTTTGCATTATTTTTTAATCCCCCCTCCCAATTTTCTTTCACAGATTTACTGACAAATCTGTACAAATACTATGTATTTTAGTGTGCAAGAATCAGTTGACTATATTCAACCATAATTTTTCATTTGAGTAACATGAAGAGATGTAAGCATATACATTCATATGGATGGTATCCCTTCTCTGTTTGCCAAATTTTCCCTTTCGGTTAAAGTACTGGTGCAAATCTGGGCTACCGAGTCAGAGGTGCGTGCATTCAGATTTGCTGAAACAACACTTGGGACAAGGGATACAAAATCTATTCAGAAACACTGGGGCTATATTTAAGCTTGCATGAAAATCTATCTAGTGATCACCAGGTTCAATAAATACAGGCATATAATGAATGAGAAGAACTTTAAAAAACCCACTTTAATTGTGGCGCAGCAGGCAACCTCTGCAGATCTGTTCTTCCTCTAACTACCTTGCTGCTCCTTAACTGAGGCACCATCTCCTAGTTTCAAACTCCATCAGTATTCCATTAGGGAGAATTTCTAACTTATAATTTCTAGAATGAAGACCAATAAGGCATCTAATGCCAATTTATAACTAGCCCAATCTAACTTGTAGAAGAATAAGTAAGAACTGTTCCTTTGATTTTAATGGGAATGTGGTTAGATTTTAAAGAACTAGGGTCTTAATATAGGAAAGCACTTCAGTTAAAGGGTGGCTATAAAGCAGTGGCTCTTAACCTTTTTAGATTCAAAGCACCCCTCACCAGATTTAAAGCACCCCTCCATAACTTTTGTGAATTGAGCAGTACCCCATTTCAAAAAGCTAATTTATTTATTACAAGGCTTACCTCCTTGAAGAGGGGCAGGGCAGTAGCCAGGCCTCCCTACCCTTATCTGCCTATCTCCTCACACCTGAAACCTGAGCCTGCTCAGCCTCACTTATCTCCTCACATTTTCTGAGGAGGATCTTCAAAGGATCTTGAAGCACACAACAAGGTGCTCTGCCACCCTGGTTTAGAATCATTGCTGTATAGGCATAAATAGCCCAATCTGGACCAGGACGTAGAACTCTCACATTTCTAAATCTTTTAAATGATGTATTTGTTGTTCTGCATAGAAATATGCTTTTTGTCACTCCAGCTTCCCAAGTAATATCATTTCACAAGTATACAAAGCTAAAGGAAAAAAACTGCAGTGAAGCTACACTTGCATCAATGAGTGCTCTAAAGCTTCTTTAGTCCCAAACAGAAATTCAATGAAAATTGATTGGTAAGCAGGCAGTACGCTCAAATAATCAACATTTCAAGGGGAAGCACAACTCATCCTCCTGTGACCTGAGTATTTTACAAATTCAGATGTATACTTTGCAAAACTTCAAGACTTTGAACAGCAGCAGTAACTATAATATTTAAAATAGAACAAAATTCAAATAATATATCACCAATTTCCTCAAATGTAGCTCAGACACATTATGAAACCTGTTCTCAGTGTTTTTCTCTCTACTACACTTGATATAGATAGATCTATCTATCTATCTATCTATCTATCTATATCAAGTGTAGTATATGATATAATAAATAGATTTGCTAGTATGTGCCTTTAACCAACAAACACTGTATTGTTGGACAATAATTCTACTTTATTAAGAGGCATTCCTTTAACTTACTTCAGATCTACACAAATAAATAATGAGAATTTGTTTTCTGTTAGTAATTTAATGTCTCAGCAGAAAACTGATTTCAGGCATACCATGGCTCCAGTCCTTAGAATTTCATTTAATAGAATCTGTCACATACTAGAATTAAAACTGAACACCAAAAGCTTTATACTGTAGGCATTTTCTGCCATTTATCAGATTCTCACTATATAGAATCAGCTGTTTGTTAGTATAAGAACCCAAAACCATAATCTGTGCATGATATCTCTTTTCCCTGCTAGCTATTAAAATCAAGTCTGTGTGAATGTATGTTTGCTGCACAAGCTGGTTGCTATGCAGTGGCTAATGACTACTGAGCACGCGTGATTATGGTATCCACATAGACTTTTCAGTTTCCTGCCTGTCATTCTTTAGAATTGCGTTTTTAGAATCTAAAAATGACCTATCCAGCTATTATAATAAGTAGTAAATACTGTATGATACTGGAATTCAGCTTCTAAGACACATTTTAGCTATGAATATTTTACCAGCATATAATGGGCAAAAGTGCTTTCCTTTAACTAGCATTGCTTTTTAATACATATTATATTTTCCCTTCGTGTTTAATTTCAATATTTAATTAGCTTTAAAAACCTTTACCCCAAAAAGAATTTCAGCTTGAGGAATCTAGATCGAGTGGGAGTTTTGGACTGATGGTATTATTAAGTGTATCCAGTAAGCAGATTTGAAATAATAAAAGTCTGGGTTAGATTCTCAGCACACAGTAGAAAGAGTTCTGAAAGGTCCAACCCCTGAACTTGCTGCAAATTAGTGCATTTTCAGGACCACTTTAATTGCTTTATCATGAATAGCTAAGTATGAGCTAGGAGACTGATTCAGACCATAGGGAGCTCTGGTTTCACCTTTTGAGCAGCTTTATGCTTTGGCAGCAGTAGGGCCTCTGGAGAGTCCTTTATACTCAGCTGGCTATTGAATTCTATTTTCTGTTCCTCTTATAACACTTTACTTTGGCTGAGAGTTTAGCTTTTATATTTACTTTCTTGAAGATGAAAAGGTATGAGAAGTATGTGAAACATCCCCTCAACAAGAAATGTTCTTTTGATGCATGCTGGAATAGGTGATATTCCAGAAATGTGAATTATGCCTTGTAACACTGACAATTTTAATGATGAGTCATAATGAATACTTACATGGTGCTGTCACCTAGTTCTTCATAGAGATTGTTGGCAGCACCACTTGTTGGTTTCCCAGCTGGCAAGGCCATCTGGATCCTCGCTGTCTTTGCACATTCAGCTTGTCGCCTTTGGTATGGTGTAAAGGGAGAAAAACATATGTTAGAAATCATCTCTGGGCACTATGGACTGATGTGTAAAAGTTACTTATGATGCGTTTGCTCCTGTTTTTCAAAGAAAAGCAAATGTGAACAACTGATTTAACCTTTTTAACTATCCCATTATTTGTTTCTTCATAACAGAATTTCATGGCTACTGTATGTAAACAGTATTTTGTCTAATACTATTATCCTTTTATATAAAGGCCAAACAAACCATCCATTTATCATGATATAATAGGTAATATATTTATGATTAACTATTTAGAAGGTTTAAGTTTTAGTAGCACTCATTTTTCTAAGGCAATAATATTAGTGGCTGCATTGGTAAAGTCCTTCATTTAAATGAAAAAAAAGAAAATGCTTACATAGCATGTATATTTAAAAATATGTAAAATAATCTCCAAAGTTTATGTTATAACTTGACTGCTACCCAGGATAACTTTTACAATCTTTTCTCCAATGCCTGATGAAGAGTGTTTGTGCCTAAAAACTTGCAATTAAAGAAATTTTTTTTGTAAAGATCTTGTTGGTCTAATAAAAGATATCATCTCTACTACGAGTCCTGATTGTTATAATTTGAAACATTTTTGTCAGCAAAGAGCTGGATCAGAATTTCCTGAATGAATGGGTTATTTTTTCACTATAAAAGACAATTCACAAAACTGGTTTTCCACAGGTAAATTTCAACTTTGCCAAAAATGCAGATTCTCTATTGAGAAAAGTGAAATGTTGGTTCATTTGGTCCCAGGCTCTGAAGGAATAGGTTCTCACCAAGACACTTAGCTGCTGTTTGGCAAATTGTCTGTGGGGGGAAACAGAAAGCTGGGATGCATTATCTCTGGCTCTCTGCGCTACTTAGTTTATAGCTTGATTTGAGATTCAAACGTTTTCAAAAAAACAAAACATTTCCTGGAAAGGAATTTAGCTTTTCTGACCAGTTTTAGTAAACTTGTCCACTATAAATTTAGCCTATTAGATCATTTGGAAGGATGGGAAAGAGCAGATAGTCATGATGCTTTTACTCTATAACCCTGCCCCTAAATTAACTATATTAAAAATCTGAAAAAATCAGATGTCATAAGAAAATTAATATATCTTGAACTGATCTTCATTAGCCTACAGCAGCTTTTAGTGAATAACTATTTTCAACTCCCCTTTACAATGCTACATTTTAATTACTATATGAACCAGGGTATATCTAGGAGATACCCTGTTCAAAGAACATCAGTACAGGTTTCCCTCGATTTATGCGATACATGCGTTCCCAGAGAATGATGCATAAATTGAACTAGCATAAAGTGAACCCATTTTATAATGTAACAAATAGGGATAGGCTCCCATGGCAGTGAGGGAGGGAGGGAGGCTGGGACTAGGGAAGGGGCAGGGAGAGGAGTGCCGCTCCAGGAGCTGCACAAGGGAGCAAACTAGAGGAAACTGTCAGTGGGTGTGGGGTGCAGCTCTTGTTGCTCAGTGCCCCCAGGGAGGGCTGCGGGCTGGGGGGCTTTGCCAGGCTCTCCCTGGGGGGGCGCATGTCCCCAGATCTGCGCATGGGACAACAGCAGGCTGCTGTTGCAGGATGCTGTTGCAGGCTGGGGCTGGCAGCAGCACTGGGCTCTTCCTGGTGCTTGGGGCAGGACATGGCCCTTTTCCCTTCCCCCACAGGCTTACCTGCTTAGGTGGGGGGGGGGGGCACCTATGCCAATTGCATAAGGGCTGAATTTACTTTGGATATAATGAATTATGGGTCTAAAAATGCTCATTGCATAAGAGCAAATTTGCATATACAGAGCCTGCATAAATCAAGAGAAACCTGTACTACATATTATTACCAAATTATCTGTGGTGTATTTTCCACTTAAATTAAGATGGTTACACCAGGGATGGATTTGGCTGACTGGTTTTGTGTTTCAAAAAAGTGAGAATGTTTATACTAAGTGATAAATAATTGCTCCCTGGGTCAATATTTTTTTATGATCATTTCAGCAGAAGTTGATTTTTTGCTTAATGACTTCTTTTAAACATTGAATACACATACAAAGTTAGGAAACCCATGAATTCTGTACTATAAAGTGTCTTGAAGGATATCCCCCCTTTCAAAAACTTGGTAGACATAAGTCATTAAATGAGTCTTTCTAGGCAATATCCAGAATTACAGAAATAAACAGAAATTCAAACAGCAAAATTGAGGACTGGAAACTCCTATTCCATTCCATTCCTAAATTACGTTTTAAGTACTGCATATATACTACCCTAATAACTGGCATGAATGTAGTAAAGCTTGCTTCATCTCTGTCCCCATATTCCAACACTTCTACAGTTGCATTATTTTCCCTTCAGTATGAAGTCTCTGCCATTTATTTACTTGATGCTGTAAAAGAGGAAGCTTCAAGCTTTCTCTTCGCTCTCTGTAAAAACAAGCAACACCTTGCTATCCCTATCTTAGCATATAATATTGCTTTTTATTAAATGGTCTTAAGATACTAATGCCTTTTTTATATTCAGCCAAACAAAGATCTCAGGCAGCAATGAATTCTACAGTTAACTATAATAACAATTTCTTTTTCACAAAGAATAAATACAATAATTGCCTGGAATATCAAATTCTCTTATTCTTGTAAATAATAAAGAAAATAAATTCACTAGCTATAAGTAGTCTTAAACAGGATGTTAGATAAAAAGCTGAAAGTAAGTACTTACTCTTTAAATCTGTTTTTTGTGCCCAAAAAAAAAAAAGAAGAAGAAGAAAAGCAGGTTAGCAGAGTTCCATTTCTAATATTACTAGGCAACTAAAAGTCACTTAATTATTTTACACATAAAAATGCAGAACTATAATTTTTGAGGAACTGAAAAGCTTTTAATTCTTTTTGTGCCTGTCTTCTACAAAAGCACAAATATAAATTATAGAAGAAGCAGTTATATGAGCTAAGGAAAACTGGAAAAACCCCCAGACATGAATATAATGGTAGGAATTAGGATTTCAAAAAGTGGAATACTGAAATTACTTTCATTGTTATAACTGTCCTCTCATTTAAACTTATTTGGAGGATATTAAAAAAAATTGTGTATATGTTAGGTAGAATAATGGTTTTGGCTTCCATCTGTAATTCAACACCTTTTCTATTAACTCAGAATATATTTTTGAAAATTTGCTTTTTTATTTGTGCTGAATAGTGCATTTCAAAGCTAGTGTATATTAGAAAAGAATAACTATCAATTTGTGGCTTATTTACAAGTAGTAAATGCAGGCACTTAAGTCAGCTTTGACAGTGATAATTTCACATTGAAAAGTAAGCAATGTAGGACTCATTCAGTTAAACTGTTATTTTTATAAAATATTATATGTAAATTTAATTCATTGAGTGCCAAGCTGATCACTGGGGTGGCAAGTTCTGAAAAATGTACCTACTACATATGAAAAAAGTTTTAATAATCAGACAAATTGTAATAGCTCAATTCTACGTGCACTGTGTGAGACACTTAACATTTACTCAGCTATAATCTGAACACTAAGTGGCAAACTGTAGTAGCTAATACTGATAGCATTGTTATCAGAAAAATATATTAAAACTCATTTAAAAATAACCAGGAGGAGTAACCCCAAAATAGGCTTATTTCCAAAACCATTCAAAACAGTAGAGAGTTTTTATTCAAATTAAAATAATTTATATTCTCAGTGGGCTATTTTATTGATTTATTTTCCATAATACCATAATTATTTGCAGTGGTTTGGTGGGAAGTCCAATTGGAAAAAAAGCAAACATTTTAAGACAACAACACTGACTTACAATCAACTGCAGCTGAACAGATTCCTTAAAACTCCTAAAAAATTCTGGTATATTTGGGATCTGATTGCTGAAGTAAAGGAGAATCTGTGATTTGCTTTTTTCCTTAAAAGTAACTATTTCAGATTATAAAAACTAAATGTAACCCAAAGCTGTGTTGGATAAAGATTGACTGGTACAAATTTTGTAGGCAGTGCACGCATTTACATTGCATTAAATTTACTGTGCAGTAAGCAGAAATAGGCCGGTGTCTTTACAGGCAGGCATTAACGCTGTGTGTGATTTGACTTGGGACTAAAGTTAGTACCAAGTCAGTCCACACACAGTGTTACTGCACAGTAAAGCATCTACACGTGTGTTACTGCGCAGTAACTAATTAGGTGTAAATTTGATACCTGCATAATGCAGGTATCAAATTACACCTGAGTTGGCATAAAATGTCATAGTTGCTGCACAGTATGGATGTGTACGTGTAGATGCTCACCCGTACTGTGCAGTAATTTAGGGTACTGTGCATGTATAGGAGGCTTGTTCCAGTCCTGGAATATAATTCTGAGAAGCATATTGTGTGGCAGAGATCTCCTGGTTAAAGCTTTTACCTGGGGAAAAGATGACTAAAGACTGTAAAGGCCTATTTCGGGAGGGGCATTGTGCTAAGAAATCTGGACAGTGTATCACATACTCCTCCATCAATGTCTCAGAAGAGCTTCTTGCGACCCCTGGGGTTTGATATCATAGGGCACCTGTACATGTCATGAGGTTTAATCCTCATTAAATTAAATAAGTTTATAAAATTTAAACTTGTTTATTTTGGAGCGTCACATCAGTGTTTGCATGCATTAGGCTTTTGAATGAATTAACCCCAGTCCTTGGCCGGTGCCACAGGAGAGTGGGATGGTTCTACGCTGCCCCCACCCATCCCATGCCCTTCCAGGCAGCTGTGGGAGGAGGGAGCCAGCACACAGCACAAGATAAATAAGTGGAAGTAATTCTAAAGCAGCAGCAATTTGAAGAGGGTGAACTACAAAAATGTGCAGCACCATCTGGTAGACAAAGAGGATCATTGCATATCTCTGAGTGCCTTTGTGTTTGCATTCAATGAATCCATGGATGCAACACTTTAATTTGCTGTGAGTCAAACTAAACTACATCTGAGGAGTTTTAGTTTAATGCACCAGAAATACTTTTAAAGCATCCAGAAAACCTGCCCATGCAAACAGTCACACCATTGCAGCACAAGAAAATGCAAAAATGTGGACTGCACAAGCGCCCATAGGCTGCTTACAGATATAAAACAAAACAAAATAAAACAGTGCTTTACTTTAACTTGGTACATCCCCAGAAGAGGCATTGCTTTGGTTGGAACCAGCTTGCTCAATGTCTGTATATCTAGATCAGGCACTTCAGTGGGGCTTTTTTGGCACCTTTATTGAATCAGCTATTAGATAAATGTGCCAAAAAGGCCGGCTGAAGCACCACATCTATACAGGTGCTGTGTCACTGAGTCCAACTAACACAATACTTCTTTCAGGAAAGAGAGGTTTGTTTGGTTATTTTCCACTTCTGTTAGCAACCAAAGAGTGCTTGTGCCCCAAGCAGTGGAGGAGTTAATCAATCCAGTGGCCTTTTAAACTCTTTTTGAAGGAATATTTCAATAAAACAGTAACTGATGAAATTAATGTTCATCCACTAAAACAAATATTAGCTAGTTAGAAGTAGCTGTATTTTAGTGCCTCTTCTGAGCCAACTATTTATAAAGCCTGAAAACCAACTCAGATTTTTTTAACGTAATGAGGTCTCTTTAAAAGGATAAGTATAATTGATTTATAACACAACAGTAGCAGAATGATGAATTACAGAATTATTATACTAACTCAACTTTTAAATGTTGCAAATTATAAGGAATATAGATTTTAGAAGAGTTGTTACTCATCTTATACTTGTAAGGAATCTTTGTTTTCTCTTTGTAAGCCCAATATGGAATTAACAGAAAATGCAATATGGAGACTGACTGATATACAGCCATATTTAGCTCTACTGTAAGCAAGTATAACTCCATTAATGTCCATGTAGTTGCCACTACTTATGGCAGAGCTGAAACTGACACATTATTTTAATTTATCCTTAATGGTAGTGCAGGAAGGAATGGTGTGACTGACTAGCCAATCTATATTCTTACTTGGGATGTTGTACCATACCAAAGACTTGGGATCTAGATTTCAATTGTTTACCTATTATGGTACATTAGCTTCTTCACGGGCTCTTGTCTTAGACTAAATACACACATGCAAATAGTCTGGGATAATTCTCCCAGTTTTGTTCTCCTAGTAGAAAAACTTATCCAGAGTAACATTTATGGACATTCAGATGCTGAGGCCCTGAAGAGTGGAAAGCCTGAAGAGCTGCCACTGCACAACTGGGGAGAGGGACCTTTGTGCACCTGTGCTCTTCAGGCTCCCTTAGTATGTCTGCCAACAGATGGTAACTCTGACTCTGATGGTCAGTCTGTATTTCCCTGCAGCACAATGTGGGGATTGTGAAAGGTGCATATTCTGCTCCCTGCTGGAGTAGTACAGTTTAGTGAGGAGGAGAGGGAAAGGGGGTGAGTGTTGCTGGAGGACTACATTCTCTTCTGAGAGAAGTCAGACAGTGATATATTGCCACAGCTACAGAATGCAGGGGCACTAAAGCTTCATTATTCTCCGATTTCCAGGGAACTCTTTGAAAGGGCAGAGGACTTTGGAAATCTCTGCTCCTACCTGTGGTCTTATGTCCTACAGGGTTTCCAATTTCTACAGTATGCCGTAACCCACTTCACTTGGCCTTCAAAGAGAAGTGGAGGGACTGAGATACAAGAGGATGTATAGGAGTGTTAGTATTTGATTATGAATTACTCTTTAGTGAAAGAGGTGGAATAACTTAACTGCATTTTGGCTTGATAATTATTAAAAACTTACCGAATCTGTGTATGTACACTCTGTTTCTTTATTAATAGGTATATCTTAGCTGTCAAAGTCGAAGTGGGTGTATCTGTGTGTGTGCTTTAACATGCAGTAGACTATTTTACTGTGCATTAAAGCATCATGTAAAAACCATGAAATTATGCTAATGTGCGGTAAAATAGTCTACTGCACATTAAGTGTCACTAAAAAAGTAAGCAAATGTGGTGCTGCGCATTAGTGCAGCCTAGTGTACATTAATTTATTATCTCACATTGGGGGTACTAAATGTAACGCACATTGGAAAAGGTGCATTAATGCACATGTAGATGTGCCCACCGACTACTAAAATTACTTGAGTTTGTAACATGACTGGAAATCTCAAGTAAACAGATACTCATGAGTTCTCTGGTATATCTTGCTTTGAACTTGGCTAAAAATGCTTTAAGATGAACCTCTCAGTGGCACATTCTGCACATGCAGTTCTGTCCTAAATGGACCCAGGAAATGTATAGAAATGGGAAAACAAAACAAAGCAACAAGCAGGAAGCAACTTGTTTGTACCTTTGTTATATATAAATAGTCCATATTTGTTTCAGTTCTTATTTTGTCTGATTGAGAAACTGGCCTGATCTACAACATTTGAATCATACATTGAACCAGCCATGATTGGTCCATACTTGGACACAGTTCTGAATAAGCTCATAAGAAAGAGAAATGTATATCATAGTTAAGTTTAGAGCACAATCCATATTCACAAATCAATCTCCCACCCAGGACCTACGTCTTTGATTTGGGCCAGTTTGTAATTTCAAACAGTTATCCCATTATATATGCAACAAATGTAAATAAAAACACAGTACTGTCCAGAAATAATGATGATGAGGAGAAAGATATTATTATACTTACTGTTTGTAGCTGACCATAACTATTAAAATGGCAGGCACACAGCAAAGGACAATTATCACAGCCAGAGCAAGTAAGGCTCCTTCTGTGTAGCCCACAGCTTGTGCCTGTTTCTTGACATTGGCTACTACATCTGGGGTACGGATTTCCAAAATACGCCCTCCTTGCCCAAGGTATGGCTGAAATTCTTTGTTGATATCCAGCAGTTTCCCATCTAAGAACCTTCAATATCACAAAACAAAACTTACAACACATTTCATTATGATTCAATTGCTATTCAACTTAGTTAATAAATATGTACTGCCACAGTGCAAAACTCTTTATGTATTTAATCCATATTTCAGTGTTATTATTGATGTATTTCCTAGTAATGTAGTGTTTAAATACCAAATAGAAGAGAGGAACTGATGTTATTTTTTATCTGCTTCTATATCCTAACTGTCATCATCACATGGAAAAACCCTGTAAAATTCCTGTGGATAATGCCAGAGGCCAAATGCTGAAATGCAGCAAGGAACTACTGCATGCAAAAATAACTGCATACAACTCCTGCCCCAACCCTTTGGCTGATGGGTGATCTGTTCAGAGCAGCAACCCTTATATTTGAGAATCAAACACTGGATTATGGCAATGCATCGTACTTTGTATGTGCTCTACAGTGGTCAATTGCTCAATACTAATGAACCTTTCTAAACATACCTGAAGGGATTCAGGAGATACATTGGAATCATCCTACATAGAAAACTAGTGGAACTTCTATTTAAGTTCAAAGCTCAACTCACCTTGAACTATGGAATAGACAGCATTAGTTCCATAATGTTTAGTTGATATGAGGGCAGAGACTAATTATTCCCAGATCCATAACCTCTTGAAGGGCCCTTTATGTTCCTTTAAAAAGAACTCATTGTCGTTTCGTATTACTATGTTTTATTAACATTCATAATGAAACCTTTAGCCTTTTTCATAAAATATTGTTTTTGGTAATTCAGCAAAAATACCTTGACATAAACTAAGCAGTATCTATGAGACAAACATGGAAAATACAAGCAAAAAGTGAGCCTAGAGCACCAATTTCTCATGTGCACACTAGATGTCACTGGAGTATGCTAGTTGTGCTGCACACTGATGAAGAATATGTAAGTATTTAGCTTTGCCAGAATTATACCTGTGGGAAACTTTAACATTCACTCAGTTAAAATTCTGTTATCATTTTCTTTACAAACCCTTATTTTAAGGGTTCATAACTCAACCATACAAATTCATTCTGGGATGAAACATGATGCACAGTGCAACAATTTAGGGAAGCATTTTTTTTTTTAAACATAAGATGTTTTAAGCTGAATAAATGTACTAAAGTTGTTCTGGATTCAACACCTTTCCTTTGGGAAATAAAAATAAAGAAGTTGACAGTTTTAGTCCCTAATACAGTCTAAGTGGTCTCACAGCCTTTTCAAGCATGACTAGAAGGGGGAGACTTAACTTTTTACAGTTTTTGCTATACTGATGTGCAGTAGCAATCTGAACTAGATTTTCTAAACTCAATATGCATTCACAAGACAGCATACAGACCAAGACGGATCATATATGATCAAAAGCAAAAGTGCAGATGAAGACAGTACGGTCTTCAGTGTACATCACTACTGCAATGATTATGTATGTAAGTGTCATCTCTTTTTCAGAGTCTCAGTACAGATAGTTAAAAAGCCTGAGGCATAATTGATTCAATCAACAGAGGTTTCTCAAAGCTGTGTAAATTGAACTGGTGCTGAACATAACAAATATTTACTTTTCAGTTGGGAAAAGCAAGCAGAGGCCTGCACTGGCCTAGGCTAAAAAGTGGGAGGAGCTAGAGTATGCCTCCCAGCCTGCCAACCACCGGGGCCATCCCTGCTTAGCTGGTCAGCACATGCCCCCAATTCCTTGCTGTCCTCTGCAGAGGAGGAAACAGTCCCCCCCATCCTCAGCTGGCCGTAAGGGGGCATCTGCCCACATTGGGGGGAGCCCCAGGCTTCTGACCATTTCCCCAGCTGGTCTGGAATCTCCCTGAGCTCTGGTCTACCCAGCTATGAGGGCACTGAAATTCCCCTGTACATGTGACTGCACCAGCATATCGCTGACATGCAGCGGGGAAGGGGAACACCGCCCCCCCATCTTGGCCCCCTGAGCTGGACTCTTCCCAGGTGGGGAGGTCCTGGCCCTTGGGGTTTCCTTATCCCCACCCAGCTGGGTGGCCTCTATAGAACCCTCACCCTGGCCCTGGCCAACCCTGGCCAACCTGTTGGTGTCTACTTGGGGGGAGCCACAATGGGGAACTTCTGCCTGGCTTGGGGCTCACTGGAGCCCTGCAACTAACCTGTCCCACCTCTCAGCCATGGGGAGTGGGGTGGGCCGGGGGGAAAAATTGACCCTTCCCAGGCCTGGGTCTGCTGTGGGAGGTCTGTGGCAGGAGGGGTTCCCCTTGGCTAGGATCTCAACGGAGACCCGCTTCCTACCCATCCCACCTGTCAGGTGCTGGGAGTGGGTTGGGGAGTACAAACAGGTTGCCATACTAGATCCCCTCAGTCCTATGGAAGCATAACAAAACATACATAACAACATAACATTTTTTGTAATAACTTTGAAGCTAGTTTCCTGTTTTATTGTCTCATTAATCCCCTGAACATGTGGCCCATTTACACTTTAAGATGCAATTAACTAGTTTATGGCATCTTAAGTGTAATGTCTGCCTGGAGCCTTAGAGTCTGGCTCACCCATCCTATACAGTTTATTTGAAGGTGGCTTCCCCTTATGAATCCCTGATAGGATCCTAAACTTAAATTTATGGTCATTTTTCAGAGAATGAAACTTGGCAATCTTGTTCCACTCCTCCCCCCCCCCCGAAGATTTCAACTTCATATAGAAAGGCTGCATTTGCTGGGAAATAACTTGTATTTAGCATTGGATAAGCATTTACGTTTATATGAACCAAACCTCTTGAGATCACCTATCACTAGCTAAAACATGTTAATGCTTTAGATTTCAAGCAATGAACCCCTCACTTCTTTTCTCTCCTTTACTTTACTAAGATGACACATTTATCTCTACCCAAAAGTTAGGAAAACACTCTCCAGGATTTTGCTGATTTAAATATTCAAAAGCTTTTAAAGGGGGAAAAATAAGCTGACTGTGCATGCACATGAAGCATTTTAATTACGTTGTTTTCCAAGTTCCAAGTTATCCTGTAGCTGTTCATACTAAGGAAAACTAATGCTTTTTCCTTACACTTGGGAAATCTCTATTTTAACCAATCCTCTGGGTCTAAAGCACTGTGAATCTAAGACATAGCTAGAAAGGCTGCACTTCTAAGGTGCAGACAGAAGTGACAATCTTCACCCAATCTGGCCACAGAAAGTGGTCGATAGCCATGACCAAACACAAGTGCATGGCTGTAGACCACTTAAAAAATGGCTGGGTGGGTGAAAATCTAAAACCTCATTACATGTGGGTTCAGATGAAGACATTTCAAAACATATCATCTTCTGTAACTTGTGTCTGTGCTGTCTCCCAGCCTGTCACTGTTTTCAGAAAAGGAGGGGGAAAAGGGAGTGGAGGGAGTTCAGTCTAGGGTTTGTTCAGTTTCTGCTGGAGGGTGGGGTGGGTGTATTGGAGTCCCCACCCTGCCCTGAGGTGGCAGGGGCTCTAATTCACCCACCCTGCCCTCTAGCACCCACTGGAACCCCTAGAATGAGCTCCCTCTGTTCACTTTACCCCACCCATTCTGAAAACAGGGACAAGTAGGGTGGGAGGAGGGGCTGTTGCTAGGGGAAACCAGCTTCAGGCTTGCAACCAGCAGCTAGATTCCCTCCCCCTGGAACCAACAGTGAACTTCTGTTTGGTCACTTTGTGATGCTTCCTACAAAGCATTCCAAGTTACAGTGGGGAGCTGCACTTCTGTCTCCCAAACTCTCTGCCCACCAAAAGGCAACATATCTGCAAAATAAATTCTGTAGGCAAGAAACAGGTAATTACCTACACATATAGACACTAGCTTATTTATGGACAAACAGTGGTAGTGGAAAGGCAGGGAATTTGAATCACCAGGTTTGGTACCCAAGTTTGGAAAGGTACCTGGGACATTTAGCACAGAACTACAAGGATCTGGCATAATCATGCCAGCAGGAGCTCATGCTGAAGATCTATGTACCCCAATTTTGTTCAAATGTTAACCAGAGCATGGCAGAATCATTCAGGCCTCCCAAGACCCACAACGACTTCATGATCAAATGTGCTATTTTGAAGTGCAAAATTAAGGGACATCAGGGATAAAGAACTGAGTGGGGCCTAAAATGTGATCACTCTTAATTTTAATTTATGCCGCATGCAACTACATCTCCCATCTTTAATATGGGAGCCAGATTATCCTACTAGGTGGTGAAACCCCACCACTGGCTTTGGTCAGAACTATGAATGCAACTGATGGGATTATTAGGTTTTGGGTTCATTCTGTGGTGCAGTAACACATTTTTTCTTTGCTTTTTAAGTGGACCTTTACACTCTCCAAAATATTTTCCTCTTGCTGTGCATGTGATTTTTTTTTTTTGGTAAGTGTGTTGAAATATCTGCCTATATCCATCTGTATGTCTCTATATAACATTGTGAAGTGACTATTTCACCCATCCAATTATATGATATCCCACCAGAAAGCTATTCCATATAGCTTGTCTGTTTTACCTTCCATTTGCTTATCTGTGGCACCTATTACATGGATTACAAACTGGTTGACAGATTTCAAAAGCTAAATAGTGGATCATCAGTATAAGGTACATTTTTAGTAGGGTTGCAGAGGCATCACTTGTTGGCTGTAATTTATTTGGACTTTATATCAATACCTTGAAATAAAATATGAAGCAATGACTGAAAAAATTTGGAGATTCACACAGTCTATGCATGGGGAAATTGTACTGCTAGCAAATGACCTTCAGCATAGCATATAAAGTAGGCCTGTGTAAAGTGGCTAGTATTCGCTTTGGATTCATATTCAGCCAATATGAGGGACAATGATTTGATTTGGTAATTCAAATCACTGTCCCGAATCAATTTGGTCAAATCTAATTCAGAGATTCAGCTGCTGCTGAATCATCCGAATCTCTGAATCACACAGGCCCCATCCCTCGCCCACTCTCCCAGCCCTAGCTCCTGGATCTTTGAAAAAAAAGTGCCCACACTCACTGGCTGCTGCCACGTGGAGACGGATGATCCCTGCTGCCCCGCATTGCATGGTGGGGGCTCTATCACAAGCCCCCAGAAGCCCTGAGGGCCATTGCAGCAGCCACGAGTCCAGGTTTTTGGTTTTTGTTTGTTTTTTTTAAGAGCTTGGAGCTGGGGCAGGTGGGGCAGCCATGGGGGGTTGAGACAGTGGGCAGGGGTCAGGGGGCTCATGGCAGAGCCCCCCACACACCATGAGTAACAGCAGGGATTGCCCCCCCACCTGGCAGCAGCTGGTGAGTGGGGGCTGTTTTTTAAAGAGCCAGGAGCTGAGACTGGGTGGGGCAGCCATGGGGCAGGGGCTGGGGAAGCAGGCAGGGGTCATGGGACAGTCAGGGGAGCAGGCACAGGATGGGGCCTGGCAGGGGTCCCCCATGGTTCTCTCCTCCCTACTGCAGCCCCCCCGCTCCCCTACCCCCTACTTACCAGCATAGAGTTTGGGTCCAGCTCCCTGCTGCAGTGAGCAGGGACTGCCCAAATCACCAAAGCTCTTCAAATCTTTTCTGAATCAATTTGGAGAGCTTTGAATTGATTCGGGCCTTTAATTGGCCCCCTGATTCAATTTGGATTCAGAGATTTGGCTGCCGAATCAGGCCGAATCTCCTCTGAATTGAATCAGCACCTGAAGCTTCACGCAGCCCTAATATAAAGCTATAACCACCCAAGAGCTGGAAGCTAAAGATAGATAAATTTAACTACAAATTAAACACAAAGTTTTAATACTGAGAATAGTTTACCACTGGAATAACTTCCTCACATTTTGCAGTGTTTTCTCTATTTGCTGGAAATGTTTAAATTGAGATGGCATATTTTTCTAAAAGATACAGTACTCCAAACAGAAATAAATATGTTACTCCAATTCAAGAAAGTATTTATATTGTCTGTGCTGTACAGAAAGGTCAGACAATCATAACTGTCCTGTCTGACTTTATAATCTGTGAGTATATGAATCCAGCTTCTCTTAGGCCATAATTTAGCTCTACTAGAGTTTAGAACTTTGGTGAATAAACCCTTCATAAATCACAATGTATGAGATGGCTCATAACCATTTGCTTTTTAGACTTCTGATTGACACAAACTGCTTTATGCCATTGCTGAACATTCAAGTCTAGCTGTCACTGAGATAGAAGCAAACACTAAAATAAAATATATTCAAGGAAACAGCAGGTAATAGTTCAGTTGGAAGAAAAACTAGGTTAGCTTTTTCTTGTGTTCATATGGAAACAGGGAAAGATATGAAAATACATATGGAAACTAAAGTGAAAATAATGGATCTAAGAGTGATTCTTTATGTGGGAGAAAGGGAACATATTTGTCTATATTTAAAACTGAACAAAGTGCTTATAAAAGCTGACATACCGACAATCTTACAGACTAAGTCCCAGAAGCTACCTACTGCCAGAGGACCCATATCTAGAAGTGAGAGGATAACTTAGCCTCCATGCACACTTAATCCTTGATTTCTCTGAAACTGTCAAAAAATAGTCACAGTCTTTGTGATGCTTGCAAATGTCCATCCATCACCAAGTACACTGAGAGTGTATATTTAGCACTATATTGAATTTGATTTGTGGTCCATCAACTGTCATGTCCTATTTCTGACAACAGCTAGAATCTCTTTGTTTAAGTTCTCGCCCATTAACCCACTGAGAGTGCAAGGTTTCTCTTCCTAGAATGAACTGTGGGACCAAAATACAAACCTTATGTTTCCCCACAACAATACATAAATCATGGGAAATGGAACTGAGGGTTGTTAAACAGAAAGAGTCCTAGATGTAGAATTCAAAACCTTATTGGCTACAAAAGATTCAAACATAATCAAAGACAAATAATGTAAGGTACATACTTAAAAAGCTCATTCCTCATTATAGCTCGGTTTGTCTGAGGGTCAATTGCATAGATCATCAAATCAGATTTGGAATAATCCTCTTCGGAATAGCCATGTCCAAACCTTCGGGCACCAATAGACTCCACAACAACTGCTGCACCAGGAATCTGATCTTGAACGTAGCGTTCCAAAATCCTGAAAGTGAAATGGAATCAGAAAGCTATAGTGATCTATTTGTTCAAATGAAGACTGGCAACAGAATGAACTGAAACCTAACAGACCAGAAACTAAAACAAAAAACACTGGTTTTGTAGATTTCTAACCCTTACAGCTCTTTCCATAAAATTCTCATTCCAATATGAGCTCTTATATGCTCAGGTCCCAGGGAAAGCTTAGCAATGTTAGAGAAGGTCATCAGACATAGTGTCATTAAGCCTGGCTCTTCGTATTTATGATATAGTCTGAGTTTAAGTGGCTCATGGGAAATTCCAACTATATTTTAGCAATAATAGTGTCAACCTTTTGTAGAAGTTATGTGATTTCAGAACTCTTCATTTCTAGCTTTTGACTTGGTGGGGGAATAAATTTTCATACACAAAAACAACTAACCTCAACCATTTACTGTGGAGTATTTCATTTGGGAATTCAGTACGACACAACAGATCAGGTACCAGTACACCTGCTATTCCTAAAGGCATAAGAAAGCTTTATAGCCGTGGGAAAGTTGAAGTACTGAACTGACAGATTTGCCACAGGAAGATAAAATAAATATCTATAAACTGCAAAAGCTATAAAGAAAATTATAAATGGATGAAAGATAATTTAATAGGTTTGCAGAAATCTGTCCTATCTGTATCCAAGATTAAAGGGGCATAATAATAACAAACTACACGCTATTTTACTACCAGAAAAGAAATTTGTGATCATTACTAGTATATGTATAGTTTCCAGGAGTATTCTCAAAATAGTATTAGTAGGAATATCAATGTGCCAAATATGCATAACAATTAGGCCTGTGCAAAGCAGCTAGTATTCACTTCAGATTTGGATTCAGCCGATTCAGGGGACAGTGACTCAATTTGGTTATTCAAATCACTGTCCCGAATCGATTTGGCCGAATCCGATTTGGAGATTCGGCTCCTGCCCAATCAGCCGAATCTCTGAATCACACAGGCACCATCCCCCACTCGCTCTCAATGGCTGCCCTGCTGAGCCCCAGCTCCTGGTTCTTTGAGGAAAAAAAAAAGCTGCCACTCACCAGCTCCTGCCCAGTGGGGGGCAATCCCTGCTGCCCCGCAATGCCCCATGCCACTTGGTGGGGCTCTAGTATAAGCCTGCCTACTTCTGCCCACTGTCCCAGCCCCACCATGCCTGCCCCAGCTCCTGGCCTGTTAAAGAAACGAACCCACCCCAGACTTACCGACTCCTGCCTGCTGGGGGGGTGATCCCTGCTGCACCCCACTGCCCCACACTGCAGGGGGGGGGCTCTTCCATGAGTCCCCAGAATCCCTGAGGCTGCTGCAGCAGCCAGAGGCTGGGGTTTGTTTTTTTTTTAAAGGTTGCCCACACAGCATGGGGAAGTGAGCAGCAGCAGGGAATGCCCTCCCCCACCTGGCAGCACCCAGGGAGTAGGAGCTGTTTTTTAAACAACTGGAAAATAGGGCCGGGCAGGGTAGCCATGTGGGGGCTGCAAGAGTGGGTAGGTGTCAAGTGTGCTTGGGAGGTCTGGGGTAGCAGGCAGAAGATGGAGCTTGGCAGGCTTCCCCCAATGTCCCTTCCCCCCTTCTCCGGGCCCCCCTCCCCTGCCCCCTACTTACCAGCTCGGAGTCTGGGTCCAGTTCCCCGTGGTTGTGAGTGGGAACTGCCCAAATTGCTGAAGCTCTCTGAATCTTTTCCGAATCAATTCAGAGAGCTTTGAATCAATTCAGACCTTTTAATTGGTCCCCTGATTCAATTCAGATTCAGAGATTTGGCCACCGAATTGGGCCGAATCTCCCCTGAATCGAATCAGCACCCAAAGCTTTGCACAGCCCTAATAACAATAAGATCCCCAGGAAATATATTTTTTTTTCTGTAAGATTAGAGTTACTAGTCATTTCATTGACCTTTGAGTGGTAATCTTTTACTAATTAAAAAAATAATACATTTCTAAAACTTTCTAGGTTAAAATTCAGTTCCTCAAAAATGTGTATCCTGAGTAGTATTTTCTTATGAATGTAGTTACAATGTCATTGACCAACTTCTGTAGTACTATTCCAATGAATAAAAATATTTAGAATCAAGTACTGAAAAAAACCAAAAAAAACCTTTTCATAAGTTTTCTATGTAGACTTCTATGGCTATAGAATGTCCTAAAATATTTGTTGTTGTTCCTAAAATATTAATGGAAAACAACTTTATGAAAGCTTATAGTATTTCCCTTGAAACAAGAAAAATGTATTCCTTATACATTTGGTGACTAGAAATGCCTGCAGCCTTTCAGGAGAACATAGTAAAAGAATGAGGAAAAGAACTTCAACAGCTAAAAAGTTGTTGTAAAAAGAGTAAATACATGTGCTGTTTCATTATGGATTTCATGTTATGGCTATTTCTAGGCATGAATTTATTCAACCCCTTCCAAGAGCTCTAGAATGAGTTTTAGAAATGATAACATCTGACTGTATGTGTAAATTGTTCTGCAACAGCCTCCTATTGCAGTGCTTGAATTATTAGCTGATCTGTTAGAGGAAACTATAAGCAAACATATAACTTTTTCATATTAGTTAAAGTAGTTGGAATCACACCTCCTTGGCTGTTTGCAGCACTATGCATGAAATGAAAAGTGATTGGGGCAGTTATAACGAAAGTCTGTAAACTTCAAATATTGTATAATGGACTGAATAGTTGACCATCTTGTCAAGAAGCTGGTTAGGGAACTAAACATAAATGATGAAGATTCCCTTTCTACTCAATGCATGACAAAGGAAGAGCAAAGATTAATAAAACTGTATTAAGAGGAGGAACTTTTAAAATTCTATTTGATTGTGTAATGGAAGCCTATGCATAATTTGTTTTAACTTTGCATTTCCTTACTTATGTATATAAAGCAGCACACTTATAATATCTGGATTTATATTACTTTTAATGGAATTACCACTTTTTAGGTTTTAATTTCAAGTATATTTATGCTAGACTTGAAAAGTCATTTTAATTGGAATGAAGTAAATATACTGAAGCAAAAGATAAGCTTTTAAGGCTAAGTAAAACAAGGTGCTGACTGAAAGGATTGCATCTGATGGGGTCTGTGCAGTCAGATAACTTTTCAGGATCAGTAACTGAAGTTTGCTTGCATTTACATGAGAATGACACCAAAACTGATAAATAAAGAATAAGATACTAGGTCTTTCTTTGTAAAATTAGGCTACAGGTGGCCTAGCTCTCTCTAAGCCTTCTCAGTAACAAAACACTGCAAATGGGTTTCAGATGAATTTTGAAGCAGGTCTACAAAGAGTAAAAGCAACAATCCTGGTGGAACTGGAGGCTTCACATGCATTTTGAACTATGCCTGACAGAAAGTATTCCATTTGAAACCACATTCAGAAGATATATAGTTTTGTGCAAGAAGAGAGGTTGGGTGTGTTCCAAACGGACATGGAAAGATTTTTCAAACAAAACCGATGATACAGTAGTAGAAGTTTAAAATAAAAGAGCAAATAAAACCAGGAGTCTAGATATACACTGGCATATGTTGTCCCAGAAATATAGGGAAAAAAAAACAGTTTAAAAGGGATATTGTACTGTTAGTTTGCAACTTTATTAATTTAACTCATTTTTGGAATTACCTGGTAGTAACTCATACATTGCAGGCCATGATTCCTTTCTTAATTGTTTATGGCCTGTAACACCTCTCTATAGAAGATCCAAAGCCCATTGATGGGACCTTGCCAGCTTCCCTCAATAGAAGAAGTAAAAGGTTTAAGAAAAGGGGTTCTCTCTTCACTGTATCAGACTTTAGGAATCCCAGACTCTTCCCTGACTTCTTCAGAGGACGCCTTCTGCTATGTGCATGTCAATTCTCATTTGCCACTTGCTAACTTCAACAACTTTATGTTCTAGCCTACTCCACCCAGGACTAATGTTAATGAGGGGAAAACAGCCCTTACCCACAATTCCACCTTTTCAGAGATGGTCTTCCCCTTTCAACCTATCTTCCAACCCCTAAATTGTGCGCGATGCAGTGGGTGCAGAGGGAGCTTACCACTATCCTGTTTGCTTTCCAATCAAGACAAAGTCCTTCCCTTCCCCACCCCACCCACACACTTGCTGCTGTCAGGTGTTATATACAAGACTCCTCCCTGTTTCTCTTTGTGAGATTTTCAAGATGCCTTGGGATAGGAATCTTGAAAATTTTGTAGGATCACCAAACGCAAAGTCTTGTCAGATCCAACTTCTAAGCCCATGTCTACTCTCTGATCCATGCAGACAGAGCTGGTCAGACAGTGTAAAGACTTGCTCCAAAATCAACATAAAAATAGCAGGCATTGATATCCCTTCCTGTTAAGAACACTAGCAACTGATTGGCCTGAAATGAACAAGCACTTTTATTCATCACTGGAAGGTTAAACCTGTCTTGTTCCTGCCCATGACACATGCATAATTGGCAGTTGGAGCTGCAACCCTGCTGCATGCACCTAAGTCATGCTTTTATAGAGCAATTTTAGTCAGGATAAGTAAAAACTTGCATGTAAATATAAATACATCCAAAATATTACAGGGCAAGTGACTAAAAGAAATAATATTTTTTTTTAGGACATGGACTAAAGATTCAGATAACGCATGGACTTTGCAAATGGAAATTACACATAATTTCTTGCTTCTAGTTTTATATTTCTTCCACAATCAACCATTTTGCCAAAAAAAAGGTTGTACTGGGCATATCCATTATCATTATAATTGTCATAAATCCTGATCTCCTAGTTCTACAAATCAGAGCAGATTCTTAAATGCAGTTTTACTAATATTTCTGCCCAGGACACAATTTTATTTAATCTATTTTGTAATTATTAAAGCGGGGTGCAGGGCATTCTGATTAAAATTTGTGATGGTCACTGTTAGAAGAACTTGTTGTGTTATGTATGCATTGTTCTTAGGAATTCATGGCAGCTGTTCAAACTTACCCAGAATTACAATCCTATAGTGAATGTCTTTTTTTAAAA